AAAGCAAACATTGGACTTCCAAGTCGATGTGTGATGGGGAGATCAAAACAGGACATCACAATACTACAACTTCCTTTTTGAGCTAATTATTTCCTGTGAGTGGCTTTAAGCACAGGATCTCTGCAGTGTGAATGCAACCTCCCATGGACCCTCATCACTGGCGCTGCACTGTTTCCTGGTTGATAAAGAACGAGTTTAAAATTTTACTGCAAATTTCTTATAGTTTCAGAAACTACAACCCCTTAAAATATTGTCAGATGTCGGTGTGAACAAAAGACATAATTGGCTCTTTGAGCAGGCATACGTCTCCCTCCCAGTCACTCTGTCACTTTGTCTAATAAACAGAACTTCCTGTGTCTGAGTACTTATAAACAGTGCGGAGTGAGCACAGTGAGAAGAGGCAATCCCCGCTTAATGCTGTTGCATGTGACCGCACAAAGAATAAACACAGTAGACAACCTCAGTTTGCAGCTAATGCTGGGGGGGATGCTGCAGACCTCAGCCGCTTTGGCACATCCAAAGGGAGTTTGCAGCTAATGCTGGGGGGGGATGCTGCAGACCTCGGCCGCTTTGGCACATCCAAAGGGTAGGTGATGACAGACCTGATTTGAGATCACAATGGTGGCTCTGCTCGATTCTAAAGGTACTGAGAGGGCTAACATGAGCTAGCTATAGCGTATGCCCATTCACAGGCCACACAGCTTCCTGGTGGGGTTGTTCACGGGTCGCCCGCAGAGGGCAGTTCCAGATGAAACATAAACATTCGCTCTGTGTCCTCCCTTTTTCCCTTTTCTTTTCAGATGATGAGCCAGTCCCCCAGCACGACCCAGCACAGTGTTCCACGGTTCAGGCAGAACTAATCTATCCCTCAGCTGTGCTCTCTAATCCAAACAAACAGATCTCTCCCTAACAGCATCTGGAACCCCTCACGTACCTGGAAACCACAGCAGCCTTGTCTCTTCGACAGTGTCTGTGTGAGAGCAGGTTTCTGTTTATCGCTGAGAGTCAGTGTGAGAGAATACTGTAGGTATCATCCAGAGGTCACTATGCTACAAAGACTAGGTTCACCAAGAAGTTAGATTGCTACCATTATTCACTGGTGCACCAGCAGGGAACATAGTATTAAAAAAAGGACATGGATGTAGACGTATGAAGTATGGCTAAACACACACTAGAAACAGATTTTAAGTTTAAAACATGCACACACACTTAAATGTAGCCAAGAGCAATGGCATATTTTGCCACAGATAAAATTTCCCTCTAAACTATGTCTACCAAGTATAAAACCCTTACCCAAACAGACCTTAAATATGAAGGTAAATGCAGCTTCTTGTAAAAAACAAAGACAACCAGCAGCTCAGAATAGCTGAAATTTTGAAGAGAATATATTTGATGCCATCCATCCATCCATCCATTTTCTTTACCCGCTTATTCCATTTTGGGTCACGGGGGTCGCTGGTGTCCATGTCCAGCAATCACTGTGCGAGGGGCGGGGTACACCCTGGACGGGTCGCAAGTCCATCACAGAGCCATATTTGATGCCGAAAAGGATAAAAATTTCTCCAATCTTATTTGCTGCACTTATTTTTAATGTGATCAAAAATTATGTTCAACCAAATATTACCGTAGTTTATTTACACTAGGGTTGCACAATATATGGAAAATGTATTGCAAAATCAATCTTAACAGTACTAGTACTGCAAAGATAGCAATAAATCTTAAGTTATTGTGTTGGAGCCATGAATTCAAGCTCAGTAAATCAATAAAATCTATATTTGATCAATCAGATGAACTCCCACTTCTCTTGACGCCCGCAGCTGATTTAAATGTAGTGGCTGAGATGCTAAAACACATCGAGTGATGTCAGAAGAGAAAGAGATTTGACAAAAATTGTGGGTTTATTGCAACTAATATTGTTATTGCAATTAGGGATGCATGATATTATCGGCATGGTATCGTATCGGCTGATATTAGAGTTAAATTTAAATATCGGACATCGGCTATTCCATCAAAATAACTCACTGATATAAAAGATGCTGTTTTTGTATGACAACCCAGTGATAAGGATGCGTGCAGCACCAGCACAGCGTGATGACATCACAAAACGCCTACCTGATCTGATCACGGCGGAGAGGAAGAAGTCAAAATGTCGGCAGTGTGAAAGTTTTTTTCGTTGAGGATATTGGATTCCAAAGATTTTTGGACTACGGTACGTTGAGCTTCGCTACATCGTCCTCAGTCAGAGATATTTTTCCGATGTAGCCTTACTCAATTTGCAAGCCGTCATTTCCGACGTCATTGAGAAGCTAATAGTCGATAGCACGTGGGTGAGTTTTACCACAGACATTTGGATGTCGTGTTAGCCACGTTAGCATGATTAGCCTTAAGGCACAATGGATATATAAAAACGTTGAACTTAAAAAGGCTGTCCTTCATGCACAGTAGTGCAGAGAATCCCACACTGCAGCTAGGAACCTGGAACAAGCCTCCACAAGTGAGACAGCATCGCAGGTGACTAATGCTAAAAATAACATTTAACACTTTCATTTAATATTCCATTCAACCTTTATTTATACAGGTTAGTCTCATTGAGCCTCGAGGACTCATTTTCAAGAGAGACCTGTTTTAGACAAAACCACAGGTACACACAACAATAAACAGCCATAAAATGCATATAAAAAAAGTAAATAAAAGTAGTGTTGTAAAACAAAATAAAATCAAGCTACATTATAAAACGGTTTAAAATACTAAAAACAGGAACATGTCTGCTTTGATTTTTGCATTGAACTTATCAGTTGTTTAAAGTCCCTTAGAGAGGTCGGAGTCGAGAGCTCCAGATTTTTTGTAATCTTTTTGTATTCCAGGAAACAGGAGTGGAGTAGGAGAAGGCCTTTTCACCGAGTTCAATTTGCACTGAGGGGACGCTGCAGGTAATGATGTCTTGAGAGCGCACGCTGTACAAAGTGCTATAGATATGGTTGTTACTGAATATATGTCACCAGTTCTTACAGCTGCTACACAATTTTTGTAGCAAATAAGCCCAAATAAGAGGGCTATGTTCTGACAAAGGAAAGTATATTAAAAACATCAGTATCGGTTATCGGCCAAATAAGTTTGAAACATACCAGCATATCGGATATCTACCAAAAATCCAATATTGTGCATACCTAATTGCAATATTCCATATTATTATATTATATTAAACACCTTTCTAATATCACACAACCATAAACAATACCAATATAAATTGTTGTAGTGGTAAAGGATTTACTGTAGTCATTTAGAATACCCTGTTTTATACATAGCCCTCTTTCTACAGACCACCTGTCCATGAAAAGGGCGTGAAACCAAGTGCAAGTAAAAAACTGTACTGAAGAGACTCCCCAAAATTATGTCAACTGCGCTTGCGCAACCAATTAGGTTGTTTTCACACTGGATAGTCTGGTAGACTCGGTTCGGATGGGGACCAATATTCATAAAATTGTGTTTACATTTGAGCTGGTGCGTTTGCATTCACACTGCACTGTGCAGTCAAGCCAACCTGTTGAACCAACCTGTTCCCCAGCTCGCCTATGGGGGCGCTGCACCAAGAACTACTGAAAGAAACGACACAAAAACCTCTGAAGACACTTCTTCTTCTAGAAATAAAAACAAAAACGGAGTGGCGTCAAATTTTAGCGGTTTTAGGAGTTATATTTTGTCATTTTTCAACAATGGACTCAGCATAAGTGGAAGAGGAAGCAGAAGACCATGGAGAATGTTGTTTTTCACACAAGGCAAGAGAAATGCGTGTTTGTTTGCCCTGCGTTGTAGTCCACTTCCTGCTTGCGGAGCAGTGCCCGTTCTGCTTACATTCACACTGTACTCGAACCGCGCTTGAGTTTTCTTCTGCCGGACCGAGACCTAGGTTTTAGCCCCGGCCAGAGTTCGCCTTTTTATTCCGTGACAGAGTTTGATGGCGAGTTCACACATCCCCAAACGAATCAAACTTCCTAGGCAAACGGGCTAGAGTTCGGGACAACAGGGCTGGTGTGAATGCACCCTTAAAGACATGCTGTCTGTCAGACGTCTGAAGCAGCACACACAAGGAGAGAACAGCCAAACAGGTGGGGTGTTTAATCTGTGCACATATCAGTCTCCTATGATGCTCAAGCTCATGAACTGATTTCTAGTCTGCAGAGCAGAGCAAACAAACGGTAAACACGTATGTGTAAGAATAGTTTCTTGTGTTCTTTTAGTTCCAGAGTCCTCAATGGCAAAACCTGTCTCTCCATTCATGACTACTACAGCCAACTCTTAAGTACAGGAATGCAGATCAAAGGGAAGGAAAAAAGGCTCAGCCCCTTCTCCTTACCCCGCAAAGCACCACCCATATGCACACTCTCATTCCCCCGCCTCAGTTTTATGTTTTCGTAAACTCTTTGAGACAAAAACTTCATTTCAAAAAGAAGAGTGTTACTAGCACGCTTACAAACATGAGCTTCTGTCCTCGCTCTGCTTATTCCCCTGCAGCCGGAAACAAATCTTTTTGGAAAGTTGAGAGCTGTCCAAAACGGGACCACACACACAGTCTCTGAGCCTTCAACTGCTGGGGGCAGTCTCATACACACACTTACACACACATGCACACTCTCTCACAAAATGGCGGCTTGGACAAAAATTTCCTTTACTACAAGTGCTCCTTATGAGCTTAATTACAAGCTTCTTCGTGGGTAACGATGTCTTTGCACATTTTGTCTGGACAAACAAGTTTGAGCAGCTTTAAAAGTAAAGCACATTCATTTTATGCTTTATTTCCAGGACCCAAGCAAGACTTTTTAATAGCACCCACCAACCGTTTCTTCCTCCAGTTTAAATGATCCTCTATCAATCAAAGCATGCAGTGTGGCTTCAAAGACATTGAAATGAAGAATATGTCTACAGCAGGTTGTATCAAAACGCATCTTAATCACAGAAATGGTGCAGCTTGTCAAACAGAAAACAGTAGATCGGCATCTTACCTTCCACCCAAAGTTTCTCCACGTTCGTTTCCAAATTAGCTGCCCTTAAGCCCACAGCAAAAGCTCCAAAAATCATGAGGCCCACAACCAAAAACTTTCCACAGTTTTTCTGTATGTAACAGCCCAGCCTAAAAAAAAGTCTCTGGAACTTCGCTCTCAGCCACAGAGGTGCTTTCCTCCCCGTTGCCTTCCCCTGTGATAAGAGAAGATACTGTCAGTGAATGCACAAAAGTACTGTACTGTAAGGTTAGAGCAGGGGTCTGCAACTTGACAATCAAAAGAGCCATTTTACGCTTTCGTTCGTGAAATTCAAAGTGTTCAGAGCTGCAACAACCTGCTACATCTGCGGTTATCAACTGGTGGCCCATGGGCCACTTTAGGTTTGTTGGATGGGCCTTTTGTGGCCACTAGGGGAGACGTTATAAAGATAGAAATGACTAATAATTTATATTTTTACAATTTAAGACAAATGAAAAGACCAAATTCTGTTAAAGATATGTTTCTTTTATTATTAATAATAAAAGCTATGAACTATGCAGACCTAGATATTTTTTTTGATTGTGGAAAAATGAATTAAGTATAGAAATAAGGCATAAAGTTAGAGTGGGCATGTTTTAATCCTTGTACTTGTTTCAGTATTCACATATTTACAAAAGAAATGACAAGAAAACTGCTACAACTACCGGTAGTCCTTTTTTGTTGTTGTTTGTATAACAGCCAATAAAATTCAGTTTTACGTTAGTTTTGGTCAAAGCTTGAAAGAGCCGCTGCAGAGGGACCAAAGAGCTGCATGTGGCTCCAGAGCCGCAGGTTGCAGACCCCTGGGTTAGAGGGACAATGTGTGTTTTGAATGACAAAAAAAAAAAAAAACTTTGATCAAACATCTGTGAAGGTTAGTAATTAAGATTCAACGTAATGTTACACATAAGAACATGGAAAAAAGATCAAAACATGCACACTGCATTACAATAAGGTTTGTTCATAACAGCAATACATAAAAACTGCAGCAACATCTGCAGCTCTCACACGAAGAGCTTGGGCGGGTTGTGTCATTCGACAGTAAAAGCAGTGAGCGCTACATATAATGAAGTCTAAGAGTTTGAAACTGGTTTGCAGCTGGATTTCGAGGTGAATGAAGGTAAGTAAAAGCAGAATGCTGTGAACTTAAACATTATCATTGAGCAGATGCATTCATGGGCATTATGGTAAATGGATCAATGCAGTTCTAAAATGAATGCAAATCTATTAGGTTGCTCCCACATGGTTCCTAAAGACTGTTTGCTGCCTGCTGCACACAAATTTGCATTTTTTTCTTGGGGGGGTGGGGAGTTGGTTTGTCCCTGAGGTGGCATTCACTCCCATAGATGACGTTAAAGACTCTGAAATGATGCATGTGGTAAAGCCCACCAAAATCTACACACACACACACACACACACACACACACACACACACACACACACA